ACAAGGCACGATTCGATAAGCAACATCGATTGAGACCAAAAGCAATCGAGGAAGGTGACTGGGTACTTGTTTATGACAATAGTCTGGATAATCAACATAGTACTTTGCGGAAATTTTCAAAACGTTGGTTTGGACCATATGTTATAACAACTGTTCATGATAATGCGACTTACTCATTACGGGAGTTAGATGGTACAAAATTGAAAATACCAATTGTAGGGAAGCGAGTAAAAATATTTAAACGAACACACGCAGAGATGAATATGAAAGACCTTAATGAAGGTATAGAGATTCCGCAGCAAGAAGATGAAAGTGATTTGGATAATGAAGGTGACGAAGACGAACTGGACAAAGACGTAGGGGATATATTCTGAATCAAACAGCAATTGGGTAAATTGGTGCATACCGGAGGATGCACAGGTTCAGAGGGGGTGGATGTCGTGTTGTAACATGAGTATACAGTGAAAATAAAAAGAAAGGGGAATTTTATTAATATTCAGTTACCTCGAATATTGGGAGCATCGACCAACTCCTGTACAAATATTGAGTGGTCAGGTTCAGTCACTCTGTTACAGTCAGCCGGGGCATACTGAAATGCTCCATTCGATTCCAATAACGGGAGTCAGCAGGAAGAGAGGGACCAATTCACACGACGGGTTCGAGGAGCCAATTGGATCCAATTTCGATAATCCAATCCGGGTCCTCTTATCCAATATGAGACCTGAATTGGCCGGTCAACCCAATGCAGTCTAATTATGGGAAATCCAGGTCTTATTACGGGTCTTAGCCAATCTGATGCGAGGACCAATTTGACCCAATTATGCGAACATTCAGGTTACTACGGGCATCTTTCCCAATATAGGACCTGAATTGGTCGGGCGACTCAATGTGGTCCCGATTATGGGGTTCGATTCTGTTTCAGGCTGTCCTGTTCTCTGTGCCGTTTCAGGGAACGTTGTTTTCGGTAAATGGATTTCTTAAAGGTAAAAACGGAGGAGAAAGCTTGACGACGAGAGCCAATTTCGGATCCAAGCTTGAGGTGGGAGCCAATTCCGGATCTAAGACGGAAGATTGAAGAAATTCAGAGGATAAGGTTAGGGGGGATATAGTTTTGAGGGGGGGGGTTTTTTTTTCGGGGGAATCGGGGGGGGAGCGAGTTTTCAAGCTTTTGCAAGGTTACCAATTCAGTTTTCATTGGAGGTTTTTGGAAGATCAAGGGAATTAGAGAGATGAGCTTCATGCTTCGGGTCGGGGAAGGAAAGACATAGAATTTGGATTTTTCTTCTTCGTAGAGTTTTGGGACGATTGAGGCAATCGCTGCTGAAGTCAGTGTTGTAATGGTGAATCGGGATTTTTAAATGAAGTGGGTTTGAATACTCTTGACTGTTTTGTAAAATCGAGTTACGTCTGTGATTGAAGGATTAAAGGGGTGTCTATAGGATTGAGTATGCGGAGTGAATGAAATTCATTGGGTTAATCTAACAGGACAGTCAGTGGATACAAGATCGTAAGTACAAAGGGGTATTGAAGATTAACAGTTTGGGTTATTCGGGGTTCTCTGTAACGTCTAGAGACCTACCGGCTGGGGCAAAAAAAGGACTTTGACAAGCAGTCGAAGGGCATCAGTAAAGATTTACGGTGTATTCTTGCAGTCGTTTATATTCCAGCAGTCAAAAACTGATAGACTGCTTGACTATCGGTGGATCTCCATACTATCTTCTATAGTCAGATGCCCGACGCGTTCTCGAGCAGGAAAGCACGTAATACGACAACGCGATGAACTTTTATCAAGAATGGGAGCAGCGTTGTCAAAGTAGAGAGAATTTGCCTCAAGAAAGCACTAGGCTCCTGGTTGCTACTAATTATTCAATTAAGTCTTGAGATAAGATAGACCAAGTTTGTATATATACATATAACACCTTTAGGTGCTAATACACAAAATATATAAGTCTTAAATTCCCAACAACACCAAAAATATGATAAAACCTCTAAATCCTTTAATATCCTTATGGGATATTATTCCCGAACTTCAAAAATTCATATCTTCTAATTGGACTGTCCAAACACACTCAAATTTTACATCAAGTACTAATGTACTTGTAACAACTACCACAATAAATTTCAACTGTAAATTCATTGCAGATCTTAAGATATCACCAAAATCCTAACAATAGCTTCAAACCCTAGTTTTTATACACTCGCATGCAATTTTCTTCATTACACACAAACTAAGCATTCAAATGCCACAAAATTTGTATATATAGTTTTTCAATAATTTACCTTCTCAAAAAGGTTTGAGCCAAGAATTTGTCTAAAAACTCAAAATATGGTTCCAACTATTACTATGAACAAAATCACTTACTTACTACCTTTGATTCTGATGCACTGACTTTAACTCTCTATAACTTCTTCATCTGAATTCCAAATTCATCAAACAATATATGAAAAGTATAGTCGAAAACGTTCTCTCTCCAATTCTAGTCGCCAATCCTTCATTGCTCTTTGTAAACGCATGTTATGCCCCAAAGAGTGATAGTAGGTACGAAATTGATACATTAACTTTAAGCGCCAATAATTCCTTCATAAAAACTCCAAATCACACAAAATTTGCACCCAATTTGTACCCAAAATCCTAAAATTGCTGAATTTAGCCTCCAAAGTTCAAATGACTTCGAAAGAGAAAACTTAATCCCTAATAAGGCCTCAGGCACCCTCCTTGAAGCCCATTGGGCATAGCCTTTGCCCAATAGGAATGAAGATCCCCATTCCTTGCCTTCATCCAACCATGCCTTGCTTTCATCCCTCCCAATAAGCCTCCTACTAGTTAAGATTTTCTCCTTTAGGTTTTAATCTCCTCTCAAGGCTTCATACTAAATATTTAGGTTCTATAATGTTTTTAAATGCTATAATCAAAAAAGATAAACTCAAAATAAAGTTTCTTAAATCCACTCTCTTTAAATTGATCTATTAACCATTCTAACATACACCAAGACTTATGAATACGTTATATGTTCTAACTAATTTTTACATATTATAAGCAATTATAATATGACAGTGAGTCTATGATGAGAATGGGTTCTAAGTCTCATTTGGGATAACAATTCCTATTATCAATAATCATGACTGATAATAACACATTAGTTTCCAATAACTATTTCCCATGGCTGTACTCATAAGATGAATCACAAGGCTCTATTTAGCAATGCAGTGCAGTGAATTCTGATTCAACTTTCTTTTCTGCATAGAGTTAATGGGTTATCCACAACAACTCAAGACTAGTAAGATCACCATGATGGATTTAATTGCATACCACTAAGTCAATGCCAAACACAAGAATCGTTGGTAGAAGTTTGTGTTTATGTCCATTTCATTGCACCTTCTACTACTTCCATTTGGTCAGATTTTTCTTTTACTTTTCTTTCACCAAAGCACTCCGAAGGGCAGAAGCATGTTATAAGAATTTGGTACGTGTAGTTAAATAATCAGAACCACTTCTATGCAGACTGATTAGAATAGTTATACAAGTCCATCTGACAAAGTTTGCCATGTATACTTTGTAGTAAAACTTCCCAAGATGCTGAGGGAGGTGGGATAGACCTTTGAAAAGAACTGAACAAGCTCATTTTATACATCTAAAGCATATTTTGATGAAGAAGACATTTCAATGAAGTTGGTTCTAGGCAATCTGTCCATTTTGATGAATGATAGTTTGTTAAATATATAACTACTGATGTTGACAGTTTGAAATTTTAATTGTGGTGGATAGATCATTAGGTACAATTTATCCCTGATGTATCCAAAAATAAAGTAAAAATAAACAAGGTGTTTTTTTTGTAATTAATTAGAAATAATTTAAAAAAGTGTGTGATCTGCAGAGATAAAAGAAAAAAACTCACTTCTAAGATATAAAATATTTTCAAATGTATAACACAACAAGAGGCACCAAATAAGATGAATGGTAAAAAAGGGTAAATTATACCAAGATAATTCTTATACTAACATTGGTGTGATTTATCTTTTTTTTAAAGTAGTATTAAAAATATAATATAATTTCTAAGACAAATATATAAAACTTGAAAAAAAAAAATTTGTTGGAACGATAGTATAAAATAAAATATTTTTGTGCCACTTTATTTATGTCAATTGTATTTAATTAAGGATTTTGCAAACAATCCATAAACTCAACTTGTGGATGAATACTACCTTTCAAAATATCATTTGTACCTAGTAAAAAATGGACAAAGTCCATCTTTGTATACAAATTTACACATTTTGTGGACAAAAAAAAATGCCATAGGGAGTTCGGGTAGGGATTGCTTCTTGAGCATTTTAGGCTTGATATTAGCCAGCAATGGCATCATCATGCATTAACATACATCAAGTAATTAATTTAATTTGAGAGACTACTTTTTGTGAGTTTTTCTTACCATGGATGAAAAATGTTCCAACTTGGCCTTCCTCCCTTGGGCTATATTAAACTCACAAATTATGCAAACATGCTCAATTTTTTTAATCTGATTCAAATTGTCCATATAAACCAATAGCAATGTCCTATTAATATCAAATATTCATCTTTTTCTCTACCCAATCTCAGGGTGGACTCTAAGTGGCCCTCAAAACTAGAGCAATTGCAGAAAATATTTGCTATTCAAATTCTTAATGCTATGATTTGGAGAAACACCATTGTGTCCCATTTTCACAGCAAATAAATCAGACTACATATTTTAATTGATAATTTTTTTTTCTCTAACCCATCCCCTTTACTGGATGCCCCCAATTAACACATGCAGCATATCATCGTGAATGTTGTAGTAAAAACGTACAGCAAGCAACGTGTTATATGTTAAATAAGGTTATAAAGCATGCGAACGTAATATATCCTCATGGTCATTGCACGGTGTAATGTCATCGCCGCGGAGACACTTTCGGCGTCACTTGGCGTCAATCAGCGTTGGTCCGCGTCATTTTGCGTCTGAAACACAGGAGTGCACAATTCGCAGTAACAACAATAGCGATGGCGAGTTGATGAGAGCTTCTGATCTTGATCACATTTCTAGACAGACAGGAGTAGAATCTCGGTGCGGAGAGCAGACTTTGCGTTTCAGCGATGGATGCCACGGGACGTCCTGCTGTTATCATCGACAATGGCACTGGGTGTTCCTTCCACACTTTGCTACTTCTAAATTCCATCTCTGGCTCGATGGCTTGGTTTGGTTTACATTTTGAGTCTCTGACCTGTTGTATTGCGAATTTTATTCTCATTATTTCATAGATTGCCTGTGGATTCTTTTCTCTGTCCTCGCGTAATGAATCTGTAGTTTGTGGATTGTGTGAAGGACTTGTGCGAGATTGTGATGCATCTGCTGAATTCACTGCGTTTGGTTATGGTTAGCGTAATTTTTTGGTCGGAGCCGGCGGGTTGAAATGTTGTTGAAATGTGGCGTGGTTCTGATCAGTTCTTTTTGTCGTCGTATTGAACTTGTAAAAAAATAATAATAATAATAATTAATAAAAAAAAGGATAGCTAGCTCTCGGGATTCGTTTTATGAAACTGATTATATACAGATATTTTGTACTGTCTGCAATCCTGTAAGGTTGTTCGCTACGCAATTTTGGCACGACGTGACGCTACATTGAGTTGGGTTATTGAAAAAATCTCACGTGACGAACATATAGGTATACGAAGGTGGGATTTGCAGGGAATGTGGAACCTTGTTTTATCATTCCTACGGTGGTGGCAGTCAATGAGTCATTTTTGGGTCAATCGGCTCCAAAGATTGGCACAGCTGCTTATCACAACGCCGGAGTAATGGCTGATCTGGATTTCTTCATTGGTGAAGAGGCTCTTGCAAAACAACACGCGAGTGCGTATTCTCTCAGTTATCCTATTCGTCAAGGCCAGGTACATATCACAAGTTCTGTAATCCTTGATGTTGTTCAATTCCATTCTTTTGTGGATTACACGGGGTTCATCTAGTCGTATGCCCAGGTTTTTAAAGATCATCTGAGGTATGGCAATTACCTCCGCTCTTTGCAGATTGAGAACTGGGATACTATGGAGCGATTCTGGCAGCAGTGCCTTTTTAATTATTTGCGATGCGACCCCGAGGATCATTACATGCTGCTTACTGAGAGCCCTTTGACTGCACCAGAGAATCGCGAATACATGGGAGAAATCATGTTCGAGACTTTCAACGTGCCAGGATTGTATATTGCAACTCAAGCAGTCTTAGCCTTAGCAGCTGGCTACACAAGTTCCAAGGTAAAAGATGGGCTTATTCAAAAGTTCTACTTCCTCTACTAATAATTGGAAAGAACTGTTTCAATTATATTGATATGGGTATGCCCATTTATGGGTTGAAGTAGTTTACTTTAGAATAAGGCTTTTTGCGTCGACTTATTCTGTTGGTTTCTTTTAATAGGTTTGGGCATGGCTAAGTGTAGTGTCCTTCGTGGGTATAAAATGTTGGTGGCTGCATGCAGTTGGAAATGACGGGGGTGGTGGTGGATGCTGGGGATGGCATGACTCATGTTGTTCCAGTATCGGACGGATATATCATTGGCAGCAGTATCAAATCGATTCCTGTGGCAGGCCGGGATCTCTCTAATTTTGTCCAACAGCTGATGCGAGTAGCAACCAAACCATTTCTTTAACTACCTCAATTACATCGCTACCTGTAATGAGCATGAAAATATTCAGCAGCTTCACTGTGGTAGAATCTCATCTGACATAATAATTGTATTTGTTAAGGGTATCCAAGACTGACAAGTTCTGTGACTATCCCAGGACCAGTATGAACCTGTGCCTCCTGAGGATTCATTAGATGTGTCTAGAAGGATAAAGGAGATGTACTGCTACACATGTGCTGATATCGTGAAGGTAATATTATCATCAGTATGAGATATAAGTGTGGATGTTAATGGATTGTGTAGTTTGTAACTTACACTCTCAAAGTGTGGCTGTCAGAATAGGGATGAATACGATTTATAGAGTTTGATGATTGCAGGAGTTCGGTAAGCATGACAAGGAACCTGCTAAATACGTCAAGCAATGGAAAGGAAACAACTCAAAGACTGGAGCACCGTTTTCTTGTGAAATTGGATACGAAAGATTCTTGGCTCCAGAGATTGAGGCCTCAGCTTTTCTTTTTAAAAGTCGTTTCGTTTGTCTACACGCTTTTGTAATAGATAAATGACTAGTGAACACAGAAACATGCACATGTGAGGTTATGTGGTTATGAAGCTTAGGCGACGTTTAGGAAGGAGGGTTTAGGACTTTCATTTGAATCTTTTCAAAGCCCTCTCCTTATAGTTGCTACCCGGAACTTTTAATCTTGAATAACGATAGTTGCAAATTTCTTTTAAGCTCTCACATAAAAATTACTAATATGCTGTTAAAGGCATATTAAATGGTACTGATTAAACAACTTACTATTTGGTAAAGGTGCTCAAATTATCTACTTTGGACTTGCATAGGTGTTTTTCTCTCCGGAGATTTACAGCAGTGACTTCACAACTCCTTTGCCAGAGATTGTTGACAACTGCATACAGTCAGCTCCTATAGATAGTCGTCGTGCCCTATATAAGGTGCAATTTCATCTATCCTTCAGTGTGTAATTATCATTGTCCATTGTGGATTAGTGGCAATGCTTTGTTTGACGATGTTCGATTTGGTCTCACAAATTATTATATTTGATTATATAAGTGCCCTTAGTATACTATATGCAGTTAATATAATTTCTCCTACGATTAATATACTGTGAAATGAAGAAAGTGCTCACAAATTGCTTATTTCATTTCAACAGAATATTGTTCTTTCTGGAGGTTCTACTATGTTCAAAGATTTTCAAAGAAGGTTAGATCGAGATATTAAGAAACGTGTAGATGCACGAGTATCAGCTTCAGAGAGCAAAAGTGGGAGTGGTCAGAGAGTAAGTCCATCTTATTTATGGATATTTCGGTTCATTAATGCCCCTCTCTTTTTCTGGCGGTTTTATCTGTTCATTGATTTCTTATCTATCTCTGGTGTCTGCATCTAACACTTTATATTTCTGCTACTTTCTACAAGTTTTTTTTTTTTTTTTTTTTTTTTTTTTTTTTCCCCCCTCTATTAGCATATCACCTGCGTACTTCGCGGATTCCTCTGTGCAATTTTTCAGTTTCCTCAACTTATTCCTGAATCTTTGGTTCTTAAGTAACAGGCTCAAGCAGTCGAAGTTAATGTAGTGGGCCATCCCATGCAACGGTTTGCGGTCTGGTTTGGAGGCTCTCTTCTGGCGTCTACCCCTGATTTTTACAATGTAAAATATTTCGAATCCTTTTGTCTTTTTCCAACCATTTCTTTTCGTTAGTGTTTTTCCTTGTCATCAATATGCTCAATCAGTTCAGATAGTAATACCCAGTCAGATCTTGTATTGTAAGTGTGCATGTTTTCCTTTATATAATGTGTTAGATGCCTAAAACTCTCTTTTGAACAATACTCCTACAGGCTTGCCATACGAAAGCTGAATATGCAGAATACGGTTCCAGTATGTGCCGCCTCAATCCTGTCTTTAAGGGTATGTACAGATGTTATGTTTGTAGGTCAGCATGATCCCTATTTTCTTCTCCTGTTCAATGGTGATCTTCAATTTGTACGTATCGTCAAAAAACTATTATTAAGTTGCTCTCAGTGTCTTTGCAGTGTGACAGGTTTATCGAGGCTTAAATCTCCCTGATCAGGGATTCAATTCCGAGCTGTTACTGCGAGGGATTTTGTAGTAACATACGTTCTCAACCCTCCACTAATAAACCAAGAGTGCTGAGAGGAAGTGTTTGCTCTTGAGCATTTCCTCTGCAACATATGAAATTACTATTACAGGCATTAGGCTGTGCATGCCTACCGAAGTGCGTAGTTGTGGGTGTAGAAAAGATGAAGTTCAATGCAGTTGTTTTTAGCTCTGTAGAAGTGATCTCCTTTGTTGTAGGTCTTTCAAAGTCTTGCGAAATCAAGACTTTAGTATATGTTATATGCAGGGATCTAAGTGCAATCGTAATTTGTCATTGCAGCAGATCCTGTATATGACACAATACTAACTGTTATGAATATTTTAAGCTTGTGAACTCCACCAGTACAATTTTTTTGAATTGGTAATGTAATTAGTTAAGCAGCTGAAATTTGACCCTACAGAAACTCATAGTGCGTGCTTGCAAACTACCAACTACAAACCACCCATCTGGACGCGTCATTTTACCATCTTGATCGAAATGCTCAGATTGTCACTAAACATTCTAAACACTAGGAGTATGTAATTTGTTAATGAGTGAAAGTCAGCAGCTTGTGTGGCATCATTGAGAAGTTCACGTTTAACTGTAGTTCATCCATTCGTTTACTAGGTGCGCGTTCAGAGATCACATTCCAACATTTTGTCACTTGAGAACGATCCTGTGCATTCGCATCATATATTCCTAGTTTCAAACTTAGGATTCTGAACGTATTGAAGTCACAAACATCAAATCAACTGATTAGAGTGGTTTATGAAAAGCAGATTGTTGATTTTCGTAAAGGCTACATCTTGTGAAAACAAGGAGGATATTGAAAATTCCTGGATCTGCTCTAAGCACGTTGTCCACCTCAGCAATGCAGTGTTGAGTAGAATCAATGACATGAAGGATTTTCCTTTGGTTATTTTGAAGTCAATCAAATAATTAGATCTAAGTGTATAAAGGTTTTTGTGGGATGAGGTCTCAAAAATTGAAGCTTGATGGTCAGTGAGTACTTCTAAGATCTTTAGAAATTTGTCAATTGAATTAAAGTGAAATTCTTTTATATGGATACTAGACTTGATTTCCAAAATTTTAAGTGAAATTTGAGAGTAATTCAATGAGTCAAGAAGGAAATATTAGGATTAGAAGTTCAACATTTTTATTGGAGTAGAAGGCTACCTAATACTTGATTGGATTATCTTGTATTTCTCTCAATTGGTAAGTGTAATTGATTTCATCTTTCTTATGCTTGTTCTTTACTAAGACATTAAGAAGTATGCAAATTTTGAGATGATATCAACGGTTTAATCATTAATTGTTGAGATTCTATTTTGCTATAGAGTTTGTTAAGAGTTTATTTAAGATCTAGGATTTGATTAGGATTTGGTTTAGGATTTGGTTAGGATTAGGATTTTCTTACGATTTGGTTTAGAACTTGTCTAGGATTTGTCTAAGGTTTAGGAATTCATTAAGATTTCATTAAGGTTTGACCTACAATTTAGTTAAGGTTCAGTTAAGGTTTCAATTAGAATTTGATCTAGAATTTGACATAGAATTTGATTAAGATTCAATTAGAATTTTAATTAATATTATATTAGTATTTCTATTTTTAGTATTTAGTATTTTTTATTTTTCTTTTATAACTTATTTTAAATTTATTTCAATAGGTTAAAGTTTAATTTGATTATTAGAGATTATTTTAAGTTTATTTAAGGCTCTATTAGACTTGGTAGAATTGTTGTTGTATTGTTATTTTTCTTTGTTAGTTAAGTTTGTCATGCATTCTAAAGCAAGAATATACATAATACAACAATGATATAATAAGAATGAAGATCTTTAAGAATGACATATTCTTTCTTGAATAAATAGCAAGATACAATGCATTTAGTATCACAACCTTCGAAGAAATTCTTGATGTTTGGTGATTTTATTGGAAGTATGAATAACTATTGATGGTGTTATAAATATTTTGCTTGAAAGAAGTTACAAGGGCCTTAAAAATAATCAAAAAATAAGGCAATCTTCTCACTTTAGAATGAGATATTATCAATAGCTAAGATGACCTATCAACTATCTTTGAAGGAAACAGAGATCAAAGCAAATGACAATTATAATTTTTTACATCTCAGATTTTAATATAATATGATCATTGCTCTTTATCGAACTCATTTTTAGAAGAGGAGGTAATATCACAAACATACATATTTATTCTAATAATTACTTGTATAATATGAATAGATAAAAAAAAATTAAAATAAATAAATAAATCATAATATCTTATAGAAAAGCTTTCTAGAAGCTTCATAAAATAATCTTGATTTTATATGTGTTTTAAGTTGATTGATAGGTTAAAAAATTTTGCAAATAAGTTAGCCACATGTCACACATGTTGATAGCTTGAAGTACATGCTAACTATATGGCATGCATATAAAAACTAGTCTTCCAAGTTAAGACATGTGTCTTATAGGTTTGATACATGTCAGAGGTCTTATAGAATACTGCCACATAATTCTTAGTTAGATAATATATATAAAAGAAAGAATGAAGCCTTTTTCACTCTTATCAATGCTTTTTTAGTCTTTAGTCTTGTTTTAAGACTTTATAGTCTTTTTGTCTTTGACAAAAGCTATTATAATTTCAATATTATATTAGTTTTGAAAGAATATCTATGTTTTTTGAGTAATATAAGAGTGTTTTGAATTCTTATTTGTTAGAGATTTATATCCTTGACAAAATTTTAGTTTGAAATAATAAAATAAAATCATAAGAATAACAAGTAAAAAAATTATTAGATAAATAAAGATTGAATAATTTTGTGCAACATGTGAATCATAAAAAAACTTATAAATAAATGTAATTAGAGAAGCATTTTTATAAATCAAAACAAATCACTATACAAGTTTTATTAAAGAAAAATATTGAAACTTTGCATCTTTATGATATAATCCATTCTATAAACTTACTTTTTATTTTTAAGAGATTAAAAATATAATAGTATTATATTGAATACATAAATTCAATTTGAATTATGGTTTTGGAGAATTATTTTTAAAATATTAAAAATGGACCTAAAAATATCTTTGGCTTTCAATTCTAAAATTGATGGACAAACAAAGAGAATTAATCAAGTTTTGGAACAATATTTAAGATGTACCATCAATTACTATTAAGTTGATTGAACAAATATTTTGCTATTAGCAAAGTTTTTCTACAATAATGCAATACATTCTTCTACTTAAGAAATATCTTTTTATACTAATTATAATTATCAATCATAATTTAATATTTTTAATTTTATAAAAATTAATAATCTTACAATAAAAGATTTGGCAAATCAAGTATAACTCTGATATTATTATAGCAAAGTTATATGCAATAATAAAGGCACAATTAAAAGAAGTTCAAGAACAAAAAAAAAGATCAATGCAAATACCTATCACAGAGAACAATTTTAATTTTTCATTAGAAAAAAATATGATTACTTTGTCATAATATCAAAACTATTTGTTTTTATAAAAATTTGGATTATTATAGACTTAGATCCTTTTCTATTTGTAAATAAATCAATCTATTTTTTTATCAATTATATCTATAAGAATTTATGAAATTCTATTATATATTCCATATATATTTTTTTATACCATTTAAGACAATGGATATATCAAGAAGAAAACTATGAATAGGAGATTTTTATATCTTTTTGAAAGGTAGTGACATCTTTCCTTCACAAAGATTATCTTTAGCCTTAATATTTGTCTTTAATTCTAAACCTTTGAAATTCAGATCTACAACCAAATTTAATCCTTTTACTTAAATTTAATATAGATCCATATATACAATCACTTGATCTATAAAATCCACCTATTAATTTAATCCAAAATTACTTATATAATATAAGATCTAATAATATAGAATTATACCTTCTTTAATAGTGATGATTGTAACATTGGACATGTATTAATACAAACAGTATATACTTATCTTAAATTTGTTTTTTTAAGCCTTTTGTGGTCCTTATAATCCTTTTACTTACTCTAGACTAATTTAATCGGAATAAACCTATATAGGGGGATTCAAACATGGGAAAAGTCTATCTACATGAGTTTTCATGTTAGGGTCATACAATTAAGTGTCTTTTAATGAACTAAAATATCTAAGAATGCTATATGTCTTCCGCATTCTATCAAAGAAAATATTGCAATCAATAATTCTATCTTATATATTCATTATCCTCTCCTTTCCAAACTTATGAGAACAATAGGTAATACTATACTATTTTAAAATACTACATAAAATATTTCATAATCCAATCACTATTTTATGTAATATTTTAAAATAAAATGGAGACAAAAAATCAACAAAAAAAAAAATCTATATATAATCAAATAACAAAGTAATCTTTTCACCTTAGTATAAATTATTATTGATGGCTAAGAAGACATAACAACTATCTTTGAAAGAAATAAAGATTAGAATATGCAACAAATATAATTTCTTGTATCTTAGACTTCTTCAACATGTGATTGCCATACTTTGTAGAGTTTGTCTCTAAAAGGGAAGTTATAGAGAGGAAAGAAAGAAGGGTGGACATGTCATGAATAAATTTATTTATTTAGATTAAAGAAATTAAATAAAAGTATATAGAAGTAAATAAATTTAATAGAGTAGCTACTTGCAAGCTTCATAGACATGGATTTGACTTTTTATATATTTGTAAGTGATTGATAGGTTGAAAATTTGGCCAACAAATTGGATATGTACCATATATATTATTGATTTGTGATTCAAATTGACCATGTGGTGTACATGTATGAAACTTGTTGTCACGGACATACATATAATTACCTATATGAATAGATAAAAGTATGTAAAAGTAGATAAAAGTAGGTTAATTGTGTAATATCTTCTAGAGAAGCTTCTTAGAAGCTTCATAGACGCTGCTTTGACTTTATAGGAGTCTATAGTTGACTTTTAGGTTAGAAACTTGGTCAACAAGTTAGCCATGTGCCACACATGTTGGAAGCTTAAAGAACAAGCTAACTACGTGGTCCATCCATAGAAAACTTGCCTTGCAAGCAAAGGCATGTGGCCTAGAAAGTCAACATATATTGGAGGTCTTATAGAACATTGCCACGTGGCTTCTAGTTAGATAGTATATATAGAGGCAAGAGTGAAGCCCTCTTCACTCTTGTCAACTCCTTTCTTGCTTCTAGTCTAGTTTCAAGGGTCTCTAGTTTTCTTGTATTTTGGCAATAGCCATTCCAGTTTCTTTCTTAATATACATATTTCTATTTTGTCCTATTTCTTTTTGAGAAAAGTCTCACTTACTCTTTAGCTTTCATCGAGTTCTTGTCCTTGACACTTGTCTTACAAGTTAAACATATATCTTCGAAGTTGAAGATATTTTGAA